GCATGCCAGAAGAGGGCACCAGATCTCATTACAGATGGTTGTGAGCCACCATGTGGTTGCTGGGAATTGAACTCAGGCTCTCTGGAAGAGCTGCCCGCTGGTGCACTTAACCTCTGAGCCATCTCTCCAGCCCTCCCCTCTTTATTTCTAACTAAGTCTCATATTCCTCATTCCTCAAGAGTCCCTCGGGTAAATAAATGTGGGGGCTGGTCCTCCACAGCCATGGCAAACAAAGACAGTGCATGCCCTGTTTCCATGTCCTCTGCCCCTCCACTTGGAGGACAGTGGACATGACAGCCGTTGGTACTTGGTTGGCTTCTGTCTTCCCATATATCTTAGAGGTTTCCCTGTGGCCGTTCTCTAGTCGACCATCGATGCTCCTTCACCCTGCCTTGTGCCCCATCTGCATACCCCTGTCCTTGGTCAATGTGAGTTTGGATGAACATGGCCCCCATAGGTTTATATATTTGCATGGTTAGTCCACAACTGGTAAACTGTGTGGATGGATTAGAAGGTGTGTCCTTGCCGAGGTATGTCACTGGGAGCAGATGGAGGTTTCGAAAGCCCGTGGCAGGCCCAATCTCTCCTCTCTCTCTGGCTCTGTCTCTCTGTCTGTCTCTCTCTCTCTCTCTCTCTCTCTCTCTCTCTCTGCCCATAGATCAGGATGTAGCTCTCGGCTACTGCTCAATCACCATACCTGCTTGTGTACCACATGCTCCCTGCCATGATGATAATGGGCTAAGCCTCTGAAACTGTGGGCAAGGCACCAATTAAATGCTTTCTCTTTGTCAGAGTTGCCTTGGTCACGGTGTCTCTCCACAGCAATAGAACAGGGGCCAAGCAGGCACCAAGCCCCCAGATTCTGGTTGGATTGCGGAAATGGAGGGGAGCAGGCAGACTGGACATGGCATTTAAAGCAGCCACATACCCCTCTGTAGCTCGGTGGTGACCCCATCTCTCTCCCCACAAGTCCTGGGAAACCACCCCAGCTGCCACGGCCCTGCCCTGTTCACTGCCCTTCAGAGACCCATTTGTGGGGGAGCAGACTGCTGGGCCCTGTGCTCTGGGGCATGCTGTTTCTCCTTCTTTTAAAAACATCTTACTTATATTGTAAATAAGGTGTACATATGTGTGTCTGTGTGTAGTTTTTGCACATGTCAATACCGTGCCTGTGGAGGCCAGACTTGGTTGCTGTCTCTCTCGGGTCTCTAGTGAGAAGCCTGAGATTATATGTCCTCGGGACCACGCCCCCTCTCAAGGCTTCTCTGCACACCTGGTCCAGTTTCTGGAGCTACCAGGCTTAGGTGACATCCACCCCATATCTGCCTCTATTTTTCCACCCAAGGACACTTGTCAGGAGATCTAGGGCCACCCAGATCTCCTAAGCTGACCTCACTTTTCAATCCCTTGTGACATGGCCGAGGACCCTTCAACACAGGTTCCAGGGGACCAGGACAGGGGCATCTCTCAGGAGGGGCCATGCTGACCCACCACACCGCCCACATTCTAGCTCACCCCCCTGGAGATTATCTTCAGTTGAAGCCCTTGGAATACCACATCTGCCTCCTGCTAATTTCACTCCAGACATAGCCACCTGGCTCTGTTCACAAACCACCCAGATGCCTGAAATATACCGGGCTCTGCCGGCAATTCGCATTCAATTAACAGCTGTTGATGACTCCACCTGGCTCCTGGTGGGGCGCATCGGGAAGATGGGTCTGATGAGGCCTCTTTGGAAGCAAAACGTGGGACAAGCAGGCTGCCTGGCTACAGATTGGAAATCAGCTGAATGTGTTTTTAAAAATTCGTGAATGTGTATGTGTGTGTACATGTTTGTGTGTGGTACGTGTGTGTGCACATGTATGTTGTGTGTGTGTGTGTGTGTGTGTGTGTGTGTGTGTGTGTGTGTGTACAAGCCAGAGGTCAGCCCCAGTGTCATCCTCAGGAAGGGGGTCCACCTCCTTTTGCAGGGTCTCTTCTGTCCTGGAGCTCACTAATTAGTCTAGATTGGCTGGCCACGGAACCCCAGAGATCCATCTATCTCTGCCTTCGACCTCCCCAGCACAGGAGTTCCAAGCAGGAGCCACCCCAGCGGGCATCCATCCATGGGTCCTGGGTGCTAACTCGGGTCCTCTTCCTGGTGGGGCCAGCACTTTTCCGTCTGAGCCTTCTCCCCAGCCCCAGCAGCGACTTCTGCAGGCTCACAGTCTGATGGACACACGTCTCATGGACACACGAGATCCTTGCACCTGGGACTTCCGCAAGGAAGATGCCGGTTCAGACACTGTGCTGGAGCTGGTCTTGGAGAGCAGAGGTGGGGTGGGTTCGGAGACAAAGATGGCTACCTCCACCAGCCAACAGGGAGGTCCAAAGCAAGGCATCAGGCACAGCCAATCAGGACAGGTGTAATTTAAAAAAAAATGAAAATCATAGAATAGGAAGTGAGAATTTGTACACGCTACCCTCAGAAATACATAATGATGGGCTGGAGAGATGACTCAGAGGTTAAGAGCACTGGCTGCTCTTCCAGAGGTGCTGAGTTCAATTCCCAGCATCCACAGGGTGGCTCACAACCATCTATAATGAGATCCGGTGCCTTCTTCTGGCATCCAAGCATATGCCCAGGCAGAAGACTGTATACATAATAAATAACGATTTATTTTTTTAAAAAAGAGATACATAATGACACAAACAGTTTGGAAAACTATTTGTTCACGAGTTCCTAAAGAGAGTTACGTATGACCCAGGAATCCCACCCGTGGACCGTGCCCAGGAGAAATGAAAACACATGTCCACGTGAAGACACGCACACAGATGTCCTCAGCAACACACTTCACAATAGTCACGGAGTGGATCCATCTAGATGCCTTCGGCTGAGGGTTGGACACACAAACGTACTGGGGTCAGGCATCTAACACTAGTCAGGGGGAAAATGGAACAAAGAACGTTTGGGAAGGGGCATGGGTGGAGCTTGAAAACAAGATGCCAAGGGAAATGAGCCAGGAAGGGAACACGTCCATAGAGAGGTAGATTCTAGGTTCCCAGGGGAAGAGAATGAGGACAGGTGCCGGCCTTCTGTAAGAGGGGTTGAAAGTGTCCTGGTCCTGTGCTTGTGTGTGTTGGCTTCTTGTGTTTTGTCTTTGTTTTTGTTTTCGTTTTTGTTTTTTTTCAATTCTCATTTGTTTGGGGGTTTTAGTTTGTTTGCCTGTTTGCTTTCTAAAGAGAGAGCGAGAAAGGGCTGAGAGTTGAGTTGGTGGGGAGGTGGGAAGGATCTGGGAGGGGTGTGGGAGGGGAAACCATGATCAAAATACATCCTACGAAAAACATTTTTCAATAAAAATGTCCTGAGGTTGGTTGTGACGAGGATCGAAAGACTGTAAACATACTAAAGACCATCAAGAGGTACACTTTTTATTTATTTATTTAGTGTGTGGTGGGGTGCGTGCTATCACATGCACGTGGAGGGAGGTCTGAGGACAAACTTGCTGGCATTGGCTCTCTCCTCCCACTACGAGGGACCGAGGAGTAAAATTCAGGTTGTCAGGTTTGGTCACAAGCTCCTTTACCCTAAGAGCCATGTTGCCAACCAGAATCATACACGCTAAGTGGGTAAATGTGTGGCATGTGAACTCTAGCTTAATAAAGCCGCCAACAGTAACAAAAAAGGATATGGGGAGGTGGGGTGAAATGTCTTTTAGAAGAAAATCACAAAGGCTTTGGGGGAAGATCTGGGGTGCAGGCTGAGGCAGTGTGGCTAATGATAATAGATTTGCCCTTTCTGAAGAGAAAACGGGGGTCTCCATCTAAAACCTCCCCCTCCTAAGAGTAGATCCAGCAAAGATTCCGAAGTGCATGTTAAGAACATGTTAAGAACTGAATAGTCTGACGCTCTTGGGCCCTAGGATAAAACCCGTCTAATTGCAGCAGGCACAAGGCCCTCAGAGGCAAGTCTGGCCAAGCACTCAACGCCCAGGCTGGCAGGTGAGGGGTTAAAAGCTCCCCAGAGAGCTGTGGGATGCCCTTAAGGTTGGAGTTGAAGCTCTTGGTAAGCACAATGGGGCTCTGGGTTCTCATCTGCGCCTTTTTACTTAGAACCTACATGACTTGAATCAAGCTGTTCAGCTAACTCATCAGGTCCTCGGTTCACCTGCCCGCAAAACAGGGTGGTTATCGCCAACGCTCACACCCTATAACAATATCCAGGGGCACGTTCAGCCATTGAGTCCGAGTCTGGCAGTTTCTCTAAGCCTCCAGTTTCTCTATCCTAAAAAGGAAGCAAGGGAGCTGGTGAGATGTCTCAGTCAATTAAAGGCCCTTGCCGCCAAGCCTGACGGTCTAAATTTGATCCCCAAGACCCACCAAGTGAACTCCTGCAAATTGTCCTCTGGCCATCACATGTGAACCTGGAACATGTTCATACACACACACACACACACACACACACACACACTATATATATATATATATATATATACATATATATATGTATATATATATACATACATATATACATGTTCATATATATGAACATGTTCACACACAATATATATATTCATATATGCATATATATTTATATATGCACAATAAACAAATAAATGAATTTGTAAAAAGGTTTTGTTTTGGTTTTTGCTGTTTCGAAACAGGGTTTTTCTGTGTAACAGCCAGAGAACTCGCTCTGTAGACCAGGCTGGCCTCGAACTCACAGAGATCCTCCTGGCTCTGCCTCCGGAGTGCTGTGTGTGCCACCACCGTCCGGCCAACAACAACAACAACAAACATTTTTCTTAAGCAAAAATCCCTACTTCTTCCCAGGGGGTCATCCTGCGAGCGTTGCGCACCAGCGCTCCCTGCCGGCCTTACCGGGCATTGGCGTCTCCAGGACCCGGAGGAGAAACTGCGCCTGCGCAGAATGCAAGCGCTGCGTTCTCCCCCCCCCCTCTTGAGGGTGTGACTTCCCCGGAGAAGATCCAAGGAGGCCACACCCACTTCCGGGTGGCAACCCGGCGGAGGCCACGTGACTCGCCAAAGATGGCGGCGCCCAGTGAGGTGGCGTGAAAGTTGTGGGAAGTCGGCGTCGCGGGGTTCGGGGATCAGAACCGAGGGGGGCCAGGGAGCCATGTCGCGACTGATCGTGAAGAACCTCCCTAATGGGGTGAGCAGGAGCCGGGGGAGGGGTCCGGGAGGGAGGGCGGGGGTCCTGAGAACGAGGCCGAAGGATGGAGGTTAAAGTCTGGTGCCGGAGTGCGGAGGTCCGGAACCCAGCGGGGTGGGACCCTGTTCTGACCTCTGCAAAGCAGGGAGAGTGGCTCTTATCGTTATCATTATCGCTGTGGATTATTGCCACTTCGGGTGCCTGGCTCCAAACCCGACAGTCCGGCTGCAGGCAGATGTCAGCCTCCACCCTATGCCTCGGACCCCGGTCCCCTCGATGCAGTTGTTGACCCGGGTGGATCCACGTGGGTTCTCCCTCCCACTCCCGAGACTGTTGGGGGAGACAGGATGGGAAGTGACCCTGAGGACCTGGGTGGCGGGAACGGCATTCAGTGGTTTCTCCTTCAGTGGAGACGGGGCAACCCAGCCGTGATCACAGAACCTGGCACCCGGCAGGCAGGCAGGCGTTCGGTAACTGCGTGCCATGCCGGGTAAAGGAGGAAGCCGGCTCACGTATGTGTTGATAGGCGACTAGATGGGCACTCAGAGGACCCCTCCTTGTCGTGCTGGTTAACTTTGGTCAACTTAACCCAAACCGAAGTCCCATAGGAAGAGGAAACCTCAACTGATGAAGTGATTCCGTAGGGGTTGCCCTTTGTGGACAAGTCTGTGAGACATTGAGGAGTGACTGACGTGGGAGGGCCCCGCCCACTGTGGGTGGTGTCACCCCTCAGCAAGTGCTCCTGGGCTGTATTGTATGAAAATTCTAGTTGAGCAAATAAGTCTGCAGAAGGTCTCTGCTTCGGTTCCTGACTTGCCTTCTTCTCTGGATGACAGACTGTGATTGGGACCCCCTAAGCCAAATAAGCCGTTTCCCTCCCCCAAGTTGCGTTTGGTTTTGCTGTGTACGGGCAACAGCAGAAAGCAGACTAAAACACAGTGTCACTATGACAGAGCAAGCTCAGCTACGGACTCGTTTCAAAGCCAAGCGTGTTGGCACGCACCGGTTGTACAGCTTTCAGTGTGGGCTGAGGCAGAGGGTGGCAAGTTCGAGGCCAGCCTGGGTTACAGAGCAAGATGATGTGGCAAATAAGTACATACATACATAAATAAATTTATTTTGGCTGTTGGCGGGGCCATATGTCCCTAGACCAGTGGTTCTCAACCTTTCTAATGCTGCGACCCCTTTAACACAGTTCCTTATGTTGTGCTGACCCCCCCAACCATAAATTTATTTCGTTGCTACTTCATAACTGTCATTTTGCTGCTGTTATACATTGTAATGTAAAGATCTGATATGCGCGTCCTTCAATGGGGGATCGAGACCCACAAGTTGAGAACCAATGCCCTAGAGCCACATGAAAATCCGGCTGGTGTGAGGCTGGTGTGAGAATGGTAGGAGCCAGCTGTCTACACTGTGGGACTTTTAAAGCCACATTATAGTATAGCATGATAATTTCCCATTACTTCCTTGGTAAGGTAGTTGAAACAATGTTGGTATTTTGTTGGTGTTTTGTTTTTATCGTTTCCCCGAGGTCACCGAGCCTAAGGTCAGGGTGTTGTCAGACACTGGCAGCAGGCATGGAGTGTGTAACCTTTTGACATGACCCCATCATGGCTGTGGGCTGCAAGGCTGGACCTGGCTGTCAGCGGATCTTCTTAGGTTTCTTCAGCATCTGCTGGCCATTGCCTTCTCTGACTCATGGCTACTTCTGTTACCCACCCTTCTCCGTCCAGAAGGATTCTGATTCTTTCCCTGCCGTCTTAACCCCATCTAGTCTTCCTCACTCTGAGCCTCCTACCTCACTGATGGTGTTGAAGTACCAGAAGATCCAGGATGCTCTCCCTCATTGGGATTTTAGTTTTGGAGGATCTTTTGAAAAACAGGATCTTAGTTTGTTGGCCAGGCTGACCTTGAACCTGCCAGTCTTCTTCCCTCTGCCTCACCATACCCAGCTTTCATCTTGGGATTCTTTGGTTTTTTTGAGACAGGGTCTGGTTAGTAGCCCTGGCTGGCCTGGAACTTGACATGTAGACCAGGGTGGCCTGAGACTAAAGAAATCCGCCTGCCTATGCCTCCAGAGTGCTAGGATTAAAGGTGCGCATCACCATGCCTGGCTTCATCACTTTTTGGATTTTCGAGACAGGGTTTTGCTGTGTAGCTTTGGAGCCTGTTCTGGAACTTGATCTTGTAGATCAGGAGGCTGGCCTTGAACTCACAGAGATCCACCTGCCTCTGCCTCTGCCTCCTGAGTACTGGGATTAAAGGCGTGTGCCGCCACCGCCCAGCTCATCATCAGATTTTTAAGCACATCTGAAAACCCCTTTTTGAAATATCTGGGTGTGGTGGAGCACGCCTGTGGGGCTGGGAAAGGAGGCAGGTGGATCTCTAGTTTGAGGCCAGCCAGGGCTGCATACGCCCCTTTGCAGTGCACCACAGTGCAATCCCAGGTGCTGGGCATCAGGGTGTGAGCATTTTTAATGGGCTCCATTATTCTCTCCCATGGTTGGTAACTGTTTATACAGTTTCCCTTATCTATCTGCTTATTTGGACAAGCCTCAGCCACAGATGGATGCTGTAGTTGATATGGTCTTCACAGGGGACAGGATAAGATGGAGAGCATTTGGGGTGCCCTGGGGTCTCATTTCCTCACCAAAGAAGTGAGTAGCCTGCCTTGGGGTGCTCAGCTGGTATCCGGCTCTGAGCTGGGACCTGGCCACCCTAAACATGTGCATGCAGATAGCCATCTTTTCATCTCAGGTCACCCTCCAGGACCTCTGGGCTTCCAGCTCCTCTGTCCCTTTGCTTTGGGGACCCCCAGCTCCTCTCATCATGCCCCTTCTGCTCTAGATGAAGGAGGAGCGATTCCGGCAGCTCTTTGCCGCCTTCGGCACGCTGACCGACTGCAGCCTCAAGTTCACCAAAGATGGCAAGTTCCGCAAGTTCGGCTTTATAGGCTTCAAGTCGGAGGAGGAGGCCCAGGCGGCGCTGAGCCATTTCAACCGGAGTTTTATTGACACGTCCCGGATTACAGTGAGTCTGAGGGAGTCCCATCCTGCCTGCCCTAGAGAGCCTGCCTTACCTCAGAGCTACGCAAGCTTTCAGGTGCCCAGGCATCATTCCCGGAGAGTCTGCTACTTATTCCCTGGGCCCTCTCCACAGTGTCTGATGAATTAAAGCATTTAACTTTCACAGTACTCTTTTCTATGATCTGACCTTTGTGCCCTGAACACGTTATAATTATGGTAGAATGGATAGAAACAGTTACTTCTGCAGGGATGCCACTGGGATAAAATGGTTTGCTGACCAATAATAGCTTGGAATGTATGGGGGTGGCTCATGGGAGTGTCCTCCCGAGGCTGCCTCTGAGAGTGTATCTGAGGTGCCGGGGCGGAGGGATGCATCCGTTTATGCGTGGTCCCTGACATTCTTCCACACTCCCGTGGTCATCCTGTTGTCCCTGTTACCCTGGACTTGTTTTCTGCTGTGACTGAGCCTGCCTCATGGTAAACAGTCACCCTGACAGCCATCACTCCCCGCTGCCCTGTGCCGGGCAGGCGCCACCTCCCCGACATCGTTTGTTAGCCTAGGAGGTGAATGTGTACTCCCAATCCCCATGTGCCCTGAGTTCTGTCTCTGCTCTGTCGTCACCTGCTTCCTGGGCCACCCAATCTCTGCTCTAACCTTTTGGTCTGAGCAGAGGGGACCGGAGCATTTGCTGTCCCCTCCTACCAGAGAGCACGGGAGGCAGAGCTAGTCCTCTGGAAATGGCAGTGGCCAGGATGACTCTTGGAGGACGATGTCTAGGTTGGGTGATTCTCGCTTTTAAATGCACTCAGCAAGTCAGTGACCACTGCATTCTGGGAAAACCGTGCTCCTGGTGCTGAAGGGGGCACACTTGTGCCTGGGTACCGCAGCAGCTGTGGAAAACAGCGCTCTTTCCCATGCAGGTGGAATTCTGCAAGTCCTTTGGAGACCCAACAAAACCCCGAGCCTGGAGCAAACATGCCCAGAAGCCAGGCCAGCCCAAGCAGCCGCCGCAAGGCTCTGTACCCTCAGACACTAAAAAAGTACGTAAGCGGTGCCCCCAGCCAGCCCTGTGCCCAGGGTTGGCAGGGTGGTCTCTGGCTGGCAGGGAGTTGGGAGTATCTTTTGGATGGTTTTGGAAGGTGGGTGCACCCAGGGCAGTTCACTTTGGTCTCCCCCCCCTCCCCCGTCATCGGTGTGACCCTGTCTGCCTTCCACTTCCAGGACGACAAGAAGAAAAAGGTGCCCAGTGACCTGGCAAAGGTGAATGTTGTGCGGGTGGCGAGGGAAGGCTGTGAACATCGAGAGGGTGGCGGGCTGGAGATCGGAGCCTCCTAAGCCTCTGCCTCATCTCCCTCCTTCCTGCCCCTCCCACCCGGCTACACTGCCACAGCTGAAGGAAGATGCCGAGTTCCAGGAGTTCCTGTCGATTCACCAGAAGAGGACCCAGGTGGCCACGTGGGCCAACGACGCTTTGGACACTGAGCTCCCAAGAGCAAAAACCAAGCCAACAAGTGACTATCTGAACTTTGACTCCGACTCTGACTCAGGGCAGGAGAGTGAGGAGGAGCCGGCTGGAGAGGAGCCTGAAGGTGAGTGTGCACCTCGGGTCCACATAGAACTTTCCTGGCCCTGACCTGATGGGCACAAGGACGCTTTGTGCGACACTCTCCGGTGACACAGGAAAGGGACAGCCAGGTGCTTCCCTCTAGCCATCTGGGGCAGGAGTAGCCCACCCACAGGTGTCTCTCCCCGAGGCAGATCTGGTCACCTGACTCAGCCAGTAGTCACCGAGCATGTGCAGTGTGCCAGGCACAGCTCTGGAGACTGTGGACACCGCAGTGAGAAAAGACCCCAAGAGTCCCTGTACCCGTAGAGTGGGCCTCCCAGTAAGAGCAGAGGGACGGAGGCAGGTAGTTCCCAGTGGAGCATGTGTGGTGATGGTGTGCCAAGGAGGCAGGACAGGGCATGTGTGGGAAAACTTCCTGGAAGGGCTCCTGCAGCTCGAGGGAATAGCGGTAGGGTGTCTTGTCCTCATGGGCCCTGCTGTGCCTGGTAAATACCAGTCACCATAGAGGGTAGGCCCTAAGTGCTGTGGTCCACCGTAAGAGCTGTTCTGGTTTATCGGTGAGGATGTGGGACTAACTCAGCTCAGCCTGGTAAAGTCTGCTGGGCTGAGGACTGTGGGCCTGAGGGTGGAGAGGCCCAGGAAGTAGGGGACAGACAGACAGACAGCCTTGGAAAGGCTCAAAGGAAAGGATGACCCAGGGGCTGGTTAAAGCAGAGGGAACTAAGGGGGGGGAGGGAGTTGGAACTTTCCACCCTGAGCGCTGGCAACCGCTGCAGGGTGCTGGCCAGAGCCGCGGCCCCACAGTGTGCTCAGAGGGTCAGGCAGGCTGCAGTGAGGGATGGCCGTCCCTCCTCTGCTCAGGCGGGCTTTTCTTTCCTGCTCCCCCCCCCAACCCTTGTCATTGAGTGTGTCACACCAGGCGTCCTTTGTACTTTAGTGCAAACTGTACTGTTCACCAGGGACACCAAGAGCAAAGGACACAGTGGCAGGTGCGCAGCACAGACACACGCAGAAGCCTAGTGTCTGACAAGGACTGTAGTCGGCACTCGTGGATTTTGCTGAACCAGTAGATTATAGCGGCCTCTGCCGTGAGCTGTGTTGTGTGTATTATTTTAATACTGTTGAAAGATGAACGTAAAGGGGGGATCTTGGGGAGCTGGGGAGATTGGCTCAGCAATCGAGTGCACGTACTCCTCATCCAGATCTGAGTTCAGGTCCCAGCATCCACAACAGTGGCTCACATTTGCCTGTAACTCCAGCCCAAGGGGCTCTGGTGCCCTCATCTGGCCTCTGTGGGTACTGCACTCTTGTGCACATATCCACACACAGACACACATGTAACTAAATCTCATGGGGGAGGAGGGGCTGGAGTGGGCCAGGGGAGTGAAAGGAGTGAGCGACACAGCTCCATGTGTCACGGGCAGTGTGTGTGTGGAAAGACATGCCCAGTCGAGTGCAGCCTGATTCACCGCCAGCTGTCACTCATCAGAGAATTGGCTGGAGTTGATTTGTGTGAGGGCCTTGGCCATGGCGGGCGCGTTGTCTCTGCCCACTAAGGTCGCTGACCCCCTGTCTCCCCAGAGGAACAAGGCGGCCTGCAGCCAAAGGCGGCCACACAGAAGGAGCTGTCCGACATGGACTACCTGAAATCCAAGATGGTGCGGGCCGAGGAGTCCTCCGCGGACGAGGATGAAGAGGACAGTGAAGACGAGGCGGTGAACTGCGAAGAAGGCAGTGAGGCTGAGGAAGAGGAGGTCCCCCCTGCCTCCCCAGCCCAGCAGGAGAGTGGGAGCCGGGGAGCCGAGCCTGGGAGCCGGAGACCTCAGGACGCTGCTGGCAAGGTGTGTGTTGGTCTGTGAGGGCGGAGGGAGAGGCTGGGCCTGGTCACCAGGGTCACTGCAGCCCCTTCCCTAGGGGACTGACTTGGAGGGAAGGCCACTTGCCCACAGGGTTGTCTATGCAGCCTAGGCTTCTGAACCGGTGGGGAAGGCTGCCCATTGTCTGGAGTTGTATCTGGGTATCTATGAGCTGGATGGGTCTTGCCGTGTGTATTAGCAACAAGACGGATAGATGTGAGGAAGCTTTCCACTGCCAGCTGAGGTCGGTGAGGGCTCACTGCACGCTGGGTAACGTCCCTGGCAAGTCACTGATTCTCGTCACAGTCCTCTGCACAGGTGACGAAGCAGGTCTTGGGAGGGCCAGTGGTTCACCCACGGTGATGGCTGGGGAGATGGCGGGGCCTGAAGCTGAGATTTCGAAGATGGCTGAGGCCTTGAGGATCGCCCCCCAGTGTCCCACCAGGAGGTCCTCTCTGCTGTAGCGACAGGCTACTTGGACACTTAAGGGGGACCACATCTCCTCCCCAGGGCATCCCGTCTCCTGCCCTGCTCTTTATCAGATCTGCAGTGGGAGGGAGAGAGGCCTCCATTCCTCATTTCATTGGCCGCCAGTTCAGACCAACATACCCTGTCCAGGACATGTGGCAGTGTGGAGGTCACATCCCACACTGACTCTCAGTACCTGTCACCCCTGGGTGAGACGCATCCACCCCACAGGCCTCTAATCTCCACCTGGCCTCATGGCGTGTGTCCCTGCGGTGCCAGGATTGGGTCATTCAGATTCATGAGGACAGCTATGGTGTCGTCACTATGCATGCGTCCTTCAACTGAAGCCAGGGCAGCCCTTGGGGTTCGTGTGGTGAAGGAAGTCGGGGGTATCCAGCAGCCCAGGGCAGGCATTGCCGGGAAAGGAGTTTCCAGTAAGGGCAGGTTTGCGCTTCAAAGGAGAAACCAAGAGCAGAGGCTCTCTGGAGTTGTTGGAACTCCAGAGCGCTGGGCCTGATCTCAGCGCCCCTGTGGAATTGCACTGCCCAGCCGGACACCGGAAAGTGCTGGGCAGTGTGTGTCACAGGGCAAGCTCAGCCTCATTGGTCCGTCTCGTTTTTCCCGGGGGCCAAGGCCTCTGTTGGTTTGCCGACGGCTTCCCAGGCTCTACATGCGGCCCTCATGTCAGGTGCGGTAAAGACTCTGCAGCTGCCTCCTCCTCCACCTCCATCGCCTCCACAGCAGGCATGGATTCTCGTGGAGTTGTCCAGCTCCAGCCCAGCAGCAGGCGCCCCTTCCAGCTCCAGGTCGTCCCAGCCACCACCTGCCGTGTGGGTATCAGGTCCTCGCCCCAACCATTTTCTCTCCGTGATCACTCAGGTAGAGAAGCCGGCCGGCAAGAAGGAACCCACCACACCCTACACCGTGAAGCTCCGGGGAGCCCCGTTCAATGTCACTGAGGTGTGTGTTCATGAAGACAGGATGCGGGGGGGTGGGGGTGGGGGGGTGCCAGGATGAGGTGGAAGTGGGTGTGAGTGAGCTAGAAGTGGCCGTGGAGGCTGCTGAGTAGCGCCCTAGGCACTGGCATGGGAAGGAGAGGGATGACGGTGTGAAGACTGGCTCCACCCCTCACGTTGGTGCCGGGGGGGACAGGCTCACTGTTTATAAAAGGGTGGGGGCACAGGTCTGGAGGGAGAGCTCAGTGGACACAGTGCCTACTGCGCAAGCAGGAGGAACTCAGTTCAAACCCCAGGAAGGAGAAAACTAAGCCAGATCCAGGATGTTGATCCTGCCTTAGCAGGCATAATGAGACCAGTCACAGGCGCTTATTTCTCTGCTCTGAGGAACTGGGGGGCAAGCACTCGGCCGCTGAGCTATGTCCCTGGTCTGGTTGTCAAGAGAAAAACATTAGAGAACTGTTAACTGTCCAGTTACTAATTGTTAATTGTCCAACGAAATATTTCATTTGTTAAAAAAAAAAAAGACAGAAGGGGAAACACATTTCTTTGCCTTCCAGAAAAACGTCACAGAGTTCCTGGCGCCCCTGAAGCCAGTGGCCATTCGGATAGTGAGAAATGCTCACGGGAACAAAACAGGTAAGGCAGGCCAGCCTGCACCACAGCGCCGAGGCTGCCCGCCCCAGGCTGCCTTACCCCAGGCTGCCTTACAGACACCCATGTCCTTTTTTGCCGTCTCTTGCCCTCAGGTCGGCATAGTTCATCTGCAAAGACCAGGGTCTCCTGTCCCTGCGTCTGGTGGCCTGGCACAGTGACTCCTTCCTGGCCGTGTCTCCCTCCCTCTCGGCCTCTACTGCACTGACAGGCTCACGTGCTCTGTTGGTCGATGCGAACAGGCCCAGGGTTGGCTGCGCTGTCCATGGGCACCTCCGACAGAGGACAGTTCTACCTTGTTGAGTGTATGTGGCATGGCCTTGGGCTGTGCCTTCCCAGGATTCCACTCTGGTCCGCCAGGGTCTCCTGGCCTCAGAGCACTGGCCTGGGCCGTCATAAGGCAGAGAGTCTGGTGATCGGCCAGAGTTGGAGCTGGGGGAGGCCGGCAGGTGTGGGGCCTGCCTGCTGGCCAGGCCAGGAGGCTGGGGAAGATGGAGCAGTGGGAATGTAGCCGCATCTTGCAGAGCCACGCCAAGGCCCTGGGGGGTGGGAATCCACAACCTTGGCAGGAAGAGGCCACCTGGGCAGAGTGCTGGGGGGATAAAGTGCCCAGGCATCAGGGACAGTCAGGTCACTGTCCCGTGTCTCCTTTCTTCCCCAGGGCCCCTCTTGGCTCTATCACATCTTGTACCAAGTTCTCCTCACGTTTAATCCTGAAGAGGGCAGTGGGGGGCAAAGGGGCTCCATCCCAGCTTAGCAGCCCAGGAGCCGTCCCCTCATTCCCCGGGTGCAGTGGACTGGGCCTGTCACCCAGGAGCGAGGAGCCGAGGGGCTGACGCCGAGAGTGGCCTCGCCCGCTCCATGAGAGCTGCTGCTGTGGGTGGTGCCCCCGGCTTACGGCACTTGAGAGACTGGGCAGGGAGCAGGGAGGAGTGTGTGTGTCACAGCCGAGAGAGCCCACTGGGTCTGCAGCTGGGAGACACCCAGCCTGGAGCCCGGCGCTCTCAGGGGCAGCCAGCGGGACTCAGCCACGCAGGGACGTCAGTCAGTGTGTTCTCCAGCATAGGCCCGTGGGGTTGGGGCTGGGGACGCCATAGTGGTCCCTCAGCTGGTCTGGCAGGGTGTGGGCCAGTGCCCCCCAGAAGACTCATGAAGAGGGTGAAGTAGGTTTGTGGGTAGGTGACGTCCCTGCAGAGAACAGAAAGAATTCCTCAGGGTGCGTGTGGAAAACCCTTGGCCTTTGGGCCACGTTGTGGCATTGCCGTCAGACAGCCATGTGACATCGGGCACGTGACTTAACTCCTCTAGGGAAGGGTGGCCCTGCTCTGCCACCTCACAGGGTCAGGCTCCCCCTCGGGAAGGATCCCAGGCCTGGTTCTGAGCTCCAGGGACAGTGGTCGTGGAGGTGGCCCTGACTCCTGAACTGAGTCACAGCACTGCCTACACCAGCACGTCTCCAGAGACTGTTCAGGGACAGGGTGGGGCCGGCACGGGCAGGAAGGCCGTGCTCTTCACTCCTGGGATCCACATCCCCATTCACAGCCAGCCCCGTGGTCTGAAGCTGCTGGGGGGGTGCGGGGGCATCTGTGTCCTGGGGGGTGACAGACAGGTTTCCCAGCTCTGCCTGTGACTCTGCTTATCGCCGTCCTCTCTCAGGCTATGTCTTCGTGGATCTCAGCAGCGAGGACGACGTGAAGAAAGCTCTGAAGTGCAACCGGGAATACATGGGTAAGGGCGCGTGGGACACCAGTGCGGGCTGTCCCTAGGCCGGCGGTGCGCGTTGGTGCTAAGATACTCCCGGGCCTGGGGACCCAGCAGGGAGCAGAGAGTCCACAGTCCCTCCCTCCGGAGCAGCACTGAGTGAACACAGGAAAGAGACAGGAGAAGTGGGCACATTTCTCCTGAGTGGCGTGCAGAGGGGCAGGCTGCATTGACCTGAGCTCTGGCTCCCTGGAACAGCTTTCCGGGTCTCAAGAACAGCCTGTGACACCGGCTGACTTGGGAGGTCACTGGCCTTACCCATCCCGGCATGGTCAAGTGGTTCAGATGCAGGGGTGGGCCACTGATGGAAGAGTCGCACTGAGGGAGGGTGGGAGGGAGCCCTGTAAGCAGGTCAGGTGATGGTTCCTGATGGAGCACCCAGTGGATGAGGGCGAGGTGGGGTGGGCACCTGGCCTGAGTGGTGCATGCCATGGTTCACTCGCTCAACGTCCCAGGTCGGGTTGTCATGTGAAGCCTTCCCAAGGCAGAGCAGCCAGTGGGGGGAGTGGGGAGGCCCCAGAACCCAGCTGCTGACTCCTGCGGTCTGGGATGGCCCTGCAAGCTCCTCGGGGCTGTGGCAGCCCTGCCAAGGTGAGTGAGACCCCAGTGGATCCAGCTGCAGCCTGGGGAACCGTCTACTGCAACAGGATCGTACATAGAGACAGCAGGCTCCGGACAGCAGCAGAGCAGTGGCTAACGGGACTCTCGGGAGGCTCGGCCACCCTCGGGCACCCACAGCCATGACCCCTGTCTTCATGCAGGTGGACGTTATATCGAGGTCTTCAGGGAGAAGGCCCCCACGGCCCACGGTCCCCCAAAGAGCAGCTCCGCACCCTGGCAGGGCCGCACGCTCGGGGAACATGAGGAGGAAGAGGACCTGGCCGACTCGGGGAGGCTCTTCGTGCGGAACCTGTCGTACACCAGCTCTGAGGAAGACTTGGAGAAGCTCTTCTCTGCCTATGGTGGGTACTGCTTCCAACTGGCCCTGGGTGGTATCTGCATCCATCAGCTAGAGGTTTCTCTGCACTTCAGCACCTCTTCCATGTGGATGCGCCTCTCTTTACTCTCTCAGAACGTGGAGTAGATGGGAGAGTGGTGTCTCCCTCAGGCTGTTCACACTGCGGCCCTGTCCTTACGAGACACCGAGGCACCTGGCTGTCAAGTCTTTTTGTTGTTGTTGTTTTAGAAACAAAATCTTAGCTATATAGCCCAGGCTGGCCTTGAATTCGCAGCAATCCTCCTGCCTCAGCCTCCTGAGCACAGGCGTTACCAGCATGTACTACAGTGCATTTTTTTCTTCTAAGACAGGATTTCTCTATGTAGCCTTCCCTGTCCTAGAACTAGCTCTGTAGACCAGGCTGGCCTCAAACTCACAGGGATCGGCCTGCCACTATCTCCCCAGTGCTGGGATTAAAGGCGTGCGCCACCACTGCCCAGCATGAGGGTGGTCTTTTTGTTGGATGTGTGATGCTGTTATTAAAGGGAGCCTTCATTTTAAAATTCTTGCTTTTAAAAGAGAATTCAGATGCAGCACGCACATCTAGCAGTCGGGGCTTTAGTTAGAATAACAGGAAGCAGGAATACTTACCCCGTTAGCAGTGAAGGGGCCAAGCCCAGCAGCAGGGGTCCTGGTCCTAGCGGACATGACTGATAGCCCCCTCCTCCTCTGCTGCTCTCTCCTCCGCGCTCCCCCCAGGGAGAGCACTCCCAGGAGAAGGGCACGTTCTCCTTAGAAGCCCGGGTCTCAGGCTGTTGTAAGTAGATGCATTAACTATGGCCGGGCACAGAGGCACACGCCTCTAGCCTTAATCCCAGCACTCAGAAGGCGGAGGCAGGTGGATCTCTGTGAGTTCGAGGCCAGCCTGGTCTACATGGTGAGACCCTGTCTCAAGGGGTAAAAAAGACACAAAGACTATGCCAGGGAGTTAAGGTACCCCTGAACTTGAAGAGTTCACTAGGGGAAAGGTTAACACCCTCTCTACATGTGCTCCCCTTGCGAGGACACCCCCGAAGCCAGCTTGAGCTGTCTCAGCCAGTTGACCACCTATTCCATCCTCTTTTCATTGACACCCCCACCCCACCCCACTTTCAGAACCCTGAGCTGGCTCGGCTAGAGAGACCACCACTATGTTTTTTGTGTCCTGTTTTGGGGACCAGTTGGGCCGTCCCTCCCAGAGCTAACTTTGTTACTATCAGTGCTGGGGCTGGACCCAGGGCCTTGCGTGCGACAGGCAAGCACTTGGTCACCGAGCTGCACCCCAGCGCAGAAGAACTGTTCTTCCTGTTGCCGCTGTTGTGGTGAAAACTCACCGGCCAGCGGGTCGTCTGGTCACGGGGGCTGTGTTTGCCCCTGGGGTCAGGATTATTGTACAAAGGGCAGCAGGGCTCTGAATGGGGCCGAGACCCTGACACCTGCAACATGCCTGAGGTAGCTCTTCCAAGGACAGCCTGGGTGTGGAGCTTCAGAGACGGGAGGACCAAGGAAGGACGAGGAGGAGGAGGAGGACCCAAGAGTAGGCAGGGTAGTGAAACCTCCCAGTGTGCCCACAGCTGTCCTGCCAGCCATATGTACCCTCCTGCCTCCTGCCTGACACGGCCAGACTGGACAGGAGAGGGGTGGTCTAGACTGTAGGTGTCCGTTTGGGAAGACAGGCTCATGCCAAGGACATGATCGTGCCCTGTGTTCAGAGTGGGAAGCACTGCCTAGCTTGTGTGGTGATGCCATGGTCCTTCCATGCCACCACCTATAGGAGGCACCTCTTGGCTGCACTCATGTGTTAGCACAGCTCACCCCACACCCGCCCTGTGAGCCAGGGGTCTTGTGGCACTTTACAGGTGAGCAAACAGTCCTGTGCGTGTTAAGTGACATGTCCGTACAGGGACAAGGGAAGGCCGCGAATAGAGCAGGTAGCAGAGCAGGTCTGTAGCCCACCTCCCCTCTGAAGATTGACACACAGAGTGCCTTTAACACTGGCCTGGTAAGCCGACTGGCACTCGCCATGCTCTCCTCTGGGACCCAGCCGCCTGGACTGGTCCACAATAGCCATTTGCTGATCTCACCAGTCCGGACCTTTTCCTGGCCAAGGCCCAGCACGAGTGCTCTGGCCCACGGCTGACTGACGTCTCTCCCATCTCCAGGTCCCCTGTCAGAACTCCACTATCCAATCGACAGCCTGACCAAGAAGCCCAAGGGCTTTGCCTTCGTCACCTTCATGTTCCCTGAGCACGCAGTGAAGGCCTACGCTGAGGTAGACGGGCAGGTATTCCAGGTAAGTTTGCTCAGGACTAGTCGGGCTGCTGGGCTCAAGGGAGCAGGTGTGTGTGTGTGTGTTTGTACACGCGCGTGCACCTGCCCTAGTCCCAGGCTGCTTGTTCAGCTTATTTGTTCATGGCTTATAGATGTCATTGTTACCTGGTTTATAGATGCCATTGTTATCAGGCTAGACCTGCGCCCACCTGTGTGTAGGCCTCATGTTCTCTCGCTGTGTAGGGACAGACAGACAGGACAGGACAGGATGTAGGTTTGTGGGGCTGTGGGGCTGCAGCTGTGCTTTGTAAAGTAAACAGTTTGCAGAGTTGGAAAGATGGCTCAGCAGCTAAGAGCATTTCCTGGGCCCACAGCACTCAGGAGGCAAAAGTAGATGGATCTCTGTGAGTTCCAGGCCAGCCAGGTAAGAACAGAAGAGAAACGTGGACATTTCCTGCTCTTCCAGAGGACCAAAGCTCAGTTCCTAGAAGTCATGTCGGACCACACACAACCACCTGTACCTCCAGCTCCAGAAAATCTGGCGCCCTCTTCTGGCCTCCAAAGGCACCAGACACATACGGTGCACATGCATACACACACTCAGGCTCAGGCACACACTCGCCTACATAAATAAAGTTACATCTTTTTAAAGGTGAACAGCGTCTCCTGCACACAGCGGTGTCAGCTGGCCTCACCACAGTGGCAGGCCCCTGTGTCACGTGGCCGTCTTATAAAGAAAGAGTTTATTGGGGGCTCCCAGCTTCAGAGCATGTCTGACCACATGGTGGGGAGCATGAGGACAGGCAGGCGTGGCACTGGACCAGTAGCTGAGAGCTTACGTCTGCATCCACCAGCACGAGGCAGAGAGAGAGCTAACTGGAAATGGTGCGGGCTTTTCCAACCTCAGAGCCTGCCTCCTAATCCTTCCAAATAGCTCTGCAAACTGGGGACCCGATGTTGGACTCTGTGAGCCTGTGTTCACATCCTCCTCCCATCCCCTCCAGGGCAGGATGCTCCATGTCCTACCTTCCACCATCAAGAAGGAAGCCAGCCAGGAGGCAGATGCCCCGGGATCCTCTTACAAGAAGAAGAAGGAAGCCATGGACAAAGCCAACAGCTCCAGGTCCTAGTCAGCCCATTGTGGCCGCTGCGCCCCAGTCCCAGTGTCCGCTGCCCATGGCCCCATCTTTCATGTGGCGCTCTTAGTCCCTGACTTCTCAGGGCCTCAGTTTTACCATTTGCGGGGTGCAGAGAGCAGAAACAGCGTCTCCCCACCACCCAGAGCACAGTGTGGATCGTAGGAGAGAGTGTGTGCAGCGTCCCTGTCCCAGCTAGGGCTGAGACTTGGCTTGAGAGCCCCTTGGTGCCCCCCGCCCCCCAGTCTCCTAGTCTTCAGGCCTGGTGGACTTGGCCTGTGGGAGGGAGTGGGAGGGGGGGCCCGCCATGTGACCTCTGTCCTGCCCCTGCTCCTCAGCTCTCACAACTGGAACACACTGTTTATGGGACCAAATGCCGTAGCTGACGCCATTGCTCAGAAGTACAATGCCACCAAGAGTCAAGTGTTTGACCACGTGAGTCTTGTTGATTTCATAGCAGCTCTTTCCCGGGCCAGGTGTCGGGACCTGGACAGCTGCTGAGCTGTCCTAGGCTAGACCTGAGGTGGGAGCGCACTTGTCACCCTGATGGCAGAGAATGCCTGTTGATTTTGCTCATAGCTCCACCCCCCCCCTTGTCATTTCCCCGGCCCCAAGACGTGCGTCAGCACTGTCCCTGGACACTGAGCACACCACCACAGATGAGGTAGTGATGGTGTTTCAGAGAAGCAAGGGGAAGCGGGCAGGGCTCGTTTTCATGGCATCTGAAGTCAGCCTGTCTAAGGTAACTGCTGTTAGAACATGTGCCCAGGATGAGAACGGCCTGAACCGTTTTTCCTCCTCCGTCCGCTGCGGCTGTGTATTTAACACTTGGCACGGGGCCGAATTGAGCGGGCCACATTTTCCTGGCACTGGCCACAGCCTGACCCAAGTTAAGAGGGACCGTTGCTGTGGCTCAGATGCCAGGAGCCCAGCGGTGCCCAGGACAGAAGGGGACCAGCTCTTCTTGTGCCCTCTAGTGGAGGGAGACGCAAATGAGAGGTCATAGCCACAGTGGGTGGCTCAGCGAGGTGACAGGTGATACAAGAGGCTGGGGTAGGAGCTGGCCGAGGCTGAGGTGGGTGACTCTGAAGCCCCTGCAGGCAGTGAGCTGAGCGAAGAGCCCCAGGGCATCTACCTGAGGAAAGCCAGGAAGGAAGGGCATTGTGAGCCATGGGGGGACAAAGCTGGAAAAGGACCAAGGGGTCCAGGGTTTACAGCACAAGTCCCGAGGAGTCTTAGTCCTGGGAGCCTCCAGTATGGCGGACAGTGGGTGTGGACCACATGCATTTCCCTCTGAGCCACCTCCTGACACCACCAGGCCTCTTCTCCCACAGGAGACCAAGGGCAGCGTGGCTGTGCGTGTGGCTCTGGGGGAGACCCAGCTGGTCCAGGAGGTCCGCAGCTTCCTTATCGACAATGGCGTCAGCCTGGACTCTTTCAGCCAGGTGAGTCCTTAGCGCACACAGTGGGTCTCTTAATGCTCTCGCCAGTGGCTGCTGCAGAGCTGGGAAAGGGTTTCCTGGGAGGCTGGAGAGATGTGGATGGGTCTTGTGGGTGATGGGAGCCTGAACCAGGAGGAGGCCTGAGGAGTGGCCCCTCAGAATATCCCCTGCAGATGGTAGGGTGCACCCAGCAGTGAAGATCCCCAGCTATTCCTGCCGTCCACACCTGGGCAGCAGGTCTGTGCTGCCAGGAAGGAGTCTGGGCACTGAGATGTGGCTCTTGTCCTTTGGAAGCCCATGGGGCCACCCTGGGAGTGCCAGTCTGGGTTGAGGCTGGGGACTATTGGAATCAGTGTGACTTGGGGTGATTTGGGGGAGGTGTGGTCCAGGAGCTGTCTGTGGGGCATGGAGTGAGCAAGACATCAGCATGTGAGCTCCCCGCCCCCCCCAGCCACTCAGCTCTGCTTTCCAAGCCTGTCCACAAGGGGCCCCGATGGGGGCCCTCTCCTGGAGGCCACCGCCAACGGTCAGTGCCGAAACCATGCTGAGGTGACCGTCCTCTCGTCCCGCACACGTTCATCTCTTCCCCTCAGGCCGCAGCAGAGCGAAGTAAGACTGTGATCCTGGCCAAGAACCTCCCGGTGGGTACGCTGGCAGCGGAGCTACAGGAGATCTTTGGCCGCTTTGGCAGCTTGGGCCGCGTGCTGCTGCCTGAAGGTGGCATCACGGCCATCGTGGAGTTCCTGGAGCCCCTGGAGGCCCGCAAGGCCTTCAGACACCTGGCCTATTCCAAGGTATGGCCGCTGATCTTGGTGGGGCCCTAGAGAGACACCAAGAGCTGGAGTCGCCCTCAGGCTGGCGTGGGCCTGGCACACACAGACTCTGCCCAAACCCACATTCCCTCTTGGAGCTTTGCCCTGCGCTGGCCATGAGCCGGCCATCACTGCGGTACCCGAGGCTGCCTGCCTCCTGACTTCTGAGTAAAGAAACATTAGCAGATGTGAGCTTCCTGGGCTAGTGTGACAAGTGGCCACCAACTTGGTGGCATCAGACAGCCCAGTCTGGGCTCTCCAATGGTGGCAGCCGGAAGCCCAAACCACCAAGCAGCAGGTTCTTTGCCTCCGCCAGCTGCAGGGCAGTCTGTCCCCTACTTTTCTTGCTTCTGATGGTCCCGGTGGCCCTTGGCCTGATTGTCACTCCAGTCTCACCTGGTCACCTTTGCTCATCCCATGCCTCCCTCTGGATCTCCTTTTCTTTTCTTTCTTTCTTTTCTTTTTTTTTTTTTTTTTTTTTTT